TGTACAGCCTTCCCAACTACTTTTGTCTGTGATTGTAGATTAAATATCCATCCCTTTTTATTAAAAACTGAATCATTGGATAGTGCAATGCTGGAGCTCTGATTGGCTAAGCCATCATTTAATATGAGCCATTATACCATGCTCTACAACCTATGGGGACTGTACGCGTCCGCTCAAAATTAAAAACAAGCTGAAAATCAGTTGTTTTTACAACTAAAGTCAGAAAATTCTCGATACTTTGTGGGCGTTTTTATTCCACAATTATTCCACTCGCGCTTGTTGGATATGAGATGAACATAGCCAACTAGGGGCTGCGCGCCTCGTTGGCTGTCTCGCGGAATAATTGTTAAATATCCTGCGAATTTGCCAAGAAACAGACGCCTGAAGGCAGAAATTAATTTAACATCGATCGAGATAAGCATGGCTCAGCTTGTTTATAAACAAGGAATTATTTTCATTGAATAATAAAACAATGATTGGATTCGGCTTTTGCTGATGATCTGAAGAATTACTAAGATTTCGCCTGGAAAGTGTTAAACGCCTCGCTCTTGTTAATGCATTCAGATCATATGAAAGCAGAGTCCAATAATTGATGAATATCCTCCAAAATAAATTGTTAAAAGTTTCCATGTAAAACATCACGCACCGAGCTTTTCTTTCTGGTGTCTCTTTCATTCGGATTGGTTGATTCCCCAATTTCCTCCGTTTATTTTCTCGTTTCCTTTAATACAACTTTCTTCACAAATTGGCTTTAAAATAATAAAGCTCCTGCCTAATTTTTATCTTTAATTTCTTCACATCGAATTTTAATATACACCCCTTCATCAGTAAAACCAGTCAGGTAATCATATTAAAACGTTTCTAAATAGATACACATCGAAAAATTCCGTGCTGGGTGCGTGAAAGTTTGAGTCGTTTATGCATTATCCAAGTGTGTGGGTGTAGTTTTGTGGATGTTTAGGCTAGGAGTGAATCACTTGAAATATCACTTTTAGAAGACCTCCATCATGGAAAAGATCGCAATTTTGCAATTTTGCGCAAACAGGCAATTGCGTTCCTTCTTTGGATTTAACACTTCAATTGCTGTTCAATACTGAGTTTTTGAAGTAAAATTTTCCTTTTAATTGCTACAGAATTAAACGAAAAGGTGTTATTTTCAATCATGCATTCTAAATCATATACCTTCCGGCGACGTATTAATTTACCATCGACTTCAAAGAATAAATGTTATATTCGTTAACACTGCTTCCAACATCCCAGCCAATCACACGCAAATACAAAACTTTTAACATAGTAAACACGACCCTAAACAACCAAAGATGAAAAAATGGCTAATACAAACTTTACTTGTGTTCTTGTTTGTTCTTTTAAAGTTCAAAAGTGATTTGTTCCCCCAAGAAAAATGAAAAGCTAAAAACCATTTTAAGGCCAAGCCAGCATTGAATATGAGAGTTTAATATTCGTGTTTAGTCTTGATATTTAATGTGGCTATTATAATTTTTTCTATTTTAATTTTAGGCTCAAATAACAATTGTCTGAATGGGACGACACCATTAAGAGCCTAATGCCAAAGATGGAACCTATAGTTAAATAGGTTAAAAATTTTCATTTTGAAGAGGCAAGAATTTTTCTCATACAGGTAAATCTGTACTGTTGGTTTCGTTCTTCAGTGATGTTAGCCTTCTTTGGGACCGAGTCGGTGATAATCACTAAAATAGAGCACTTGCTATTCATTAATGGAAATGTCATTGATGAATGCGGAGACAATTTTTAGTTTCTAGGGCAGTTTTTCCCCCAGCTACTTTGATTGTCAATATTTTGGTTTTGATGGTAATGTGTTTGTTTTTTTTTTTCGTGTAAACATTTTAGAAGCAGAATTTATTTAGCAAAAACGTCAAAAGAAAAGAAAATACCAGGTATCTTGTGTTTATTTGTTACTCGCATGTAATTATCATTTTTCATATCCGGTTAGAAGATAACTTCATCAAACAGAATTGAATGTTTAAACTACCACAGTTCAAACTTTGGATTTGTCGATTTTTGTGAATTTTCATTCCTCATCATGTGTATGAAATGCCCAACTTTCCATTTTGAAACTTTTACCATCTTGATTGGTTTCTTTTTGCAGGTCTTTTTCTCAAAATATAATTTTTTCGAATAGCCGAATATGGCAATTTTTCGGAACACTAAGGCATCACGGGGATTTTTCAATTCAACAAAAGTTGATTCTCATATATTGTTTTCATATTGAAAAAGGTTCACTTTCTATCGCCACAGCTGTACGTGTATTTGAATAATTTTAGCTGTAATCCAATTCCCGGACTTCTTGACGCGAGGGTGTGAAAATCTTCCCTGCTGAATAATTTGTAAATCGCTCCAGAATAAACATTCGTAAAGATGGGATTACACCTCTAATAGACACTCACAGACAGCCTTGAAGGTATGTTATCAAAACATATACGTAAAAGGTCTTAAACTTTAACTTTCTTTTGATTAGGTTATCTCTGTTTTGCTTAGTAGCTGCTAATCAGCAGTTTTTACTTCTCCACACGGGATTTTGGTGTCTGTAAATAACCTGGGACTTTTGAGATTATGACGAAGGCAGCTGCGTAATTAGATAAATGTTGACAAGAAAACTTCGGTTTACAATCTGTCTCCCTTTCATGAGTTCAAGCATCATATAGATCTCATGGGCTACCAGCAAGCTATGTTGTACATTGAAAACTTAAAAAATCTAAAGAAATTTTTTTGACCTTAGGGACGGGGACTTGAAAGAATTTTGCGTGGGTTGAATCGTATTGTCTCATGCCAGTGTTAATTAAAATGCGAATGGATTAATCAAGAAGTGAATATAATGTAGGTTTCATCCATTGTTCATCAACTCATGAGACATTCTGAGGGCGAATATTCAGGAAATATTGCTTACGCTCCACATGAAACGCCTAAGTTGTCAAGCCTATCTTAATCGGTTCTTTTCTATTTTTCAGTTTGGATTTGTATTTCGGACGGAAACTTTGGGATTCAATTTCAGCTGATTTCACCTGAGTCTGATTTCCTCCGCAGCACATCTCAACTTCAACCATCAAACGAAAGGTTAATACTCCTGTTTGTCTGGCCCCCTGTGCCAATCTTCCAGCTTGCAACCCTGGCGAATCCAATTACTCCAATCATGGGTGACAACCTGGCTCTGATAATCAGCTTCATATTTCTTTCAAGTTTAGTCTTCGTGACAAACTTTACAGTATGTTTGCTGGTTTACTTGCGCAAAAGTATGAGGACTTATACCAACGGTTTCGTCGTTTCGCTGGCATTTAGCGACATGTTGATCGGTAGCATATTGATTCCTGCCTCGCTTCTGATTCCTGATTCTAAGATAATGGGTTATTTGGTTTCAATAACTCTTCTGTCTGGGGTCTTCAACTTAGCAGCAGTGACTTTCGATCGTTATATTTCCGTGTTAAAAGCTTTGCATTACGAAAGTCTTATGAGAAAAAACTTTTTAAAGATGATTATCTCTGCATGGGCCGCAGCGTTACTGATATCTCTTGTCCCCCTCATCTGGGACACAGACGGGGATAAGTTAGTACACAAAGTTTTTGTCCTTACGGTGCTGACTCTGTGCGTTTTGGTAACGTACATGTTTATTTTTACAGGCTACTTAAAAATATTTCAACAAGTCAGACGAAGTGTGGCGCGCGAACGAGCAATAACAGCTTCTGTCAGGAAAAATTTGCTACGTCAGAAGAACAAGATTTCTTCAGAAGCAAAGCTAGCACAGGTCTTCATCATAGTCGCTGTAATGTTTGTTCTAAGCTGGTTGCCAATACAGTTTATGACAGTCGCATATGAAATTGGGCGTCGCGACCTCATTCCTAATCACCTAAGTACTGTCTCGCTCTTTACGGTCGCTCTGGGATCTCTTGTTAATCCAATTGTGTATTCTTTTCTCAAGCCAGATTTTAGAAAATGTATTCAAAATGTTTTTCGTCATCGTAGGAGACGTTTCGGTAGAAATGGAACTCCGGCTGGGAGTCTGAAGTCAACGTCTAGCACAAAGACACGATCAACAACGTTCGCGAAAAACGCGGCTGACACGCGTGTGTGATTGTGTGAGGGAAAACTTGTCAAAGCAATTTAAGATCACGTAAAACTTTTAAGTGACGAAATAGTTAATATTTGCTCAAGGGTTATCTAAATGTATCCCGCTATATTTCTTGGTGAATCTTTTTAAATACAGGTCGAAATATCACGATGAAAAAAAGGTTATAGCCCCAGGAGTGCGACACGACTTTTTATGCACCTGTTTACATGCTTATCGCATCTTCCACCTTCTTAATAATTCATACTTTGCAAAATCGCCGCGAGTGCGGTGATTAAAACTTCCTCTATTTCATATGAACGGAGCGTAGGAAAAAATACAGTGACTTTAAAAGCCTTTTCAAGCTAAAATACATTGAAAGCAGAAATAAATGAAGTTTTACAACCGGTGATAAGTTTCTCCATTGCTGATTATCTTTAATCCTAAATAGGAAGCAAAGAAATGAGTTTATTTTTTTTCCGCCTTCTCTCATTAGGAGTCTTTATTGTTTGTTCAATATGTTGGTCTTGAAAGGCTCGCTTGCTTGAAAAGAAAATGATTTTGAGTTTGCTCAAACAATCACCGATGACAATTTGTTTTAAATGAGACGACAGTCCGCCGTTTTGTTTCGTCTGTCGTTTCCTCTCACGATCAGTTAATTGAAATTATAATTAAACTCATGATAAACACGAAACAGAATAAAAGAAGCCTAGTACTGCGGTTACAAGTATATTTACAACAACAAAAATCTTGTCCTTATTTTCTCCTAATTTCTTTTTGTTTGAAAATTATTCTTGGAATTATTTTTTAAAGACGCCGTTTTCATTGATTTGAGACAAAAAATTTTCCACTTTTGATTTGTATTTAAGTCCGACTTACGCAACTTTCGTGTTTCCTTTCGGATAATGCACATAAAGCGGAAATATCTGCAGCATTGCGCTTGTTAAGATATATGAAACTTAGCTTGCGAGCAAGCTCTCCGATTTGGAGCGCTTGTATGTGAAACTATTTCGTTTGGCCATATTGCGGGCAAGAAATATTTCTCAGAATGTTAAAGAAATATATACAGCTGTGATGGATCTGAGTTAATTGAGTCTCGAAGTCTATAGCATTTTGTATCAATGCCAGGTACACAAACTTCACATTGTACCTGCTGAAGCTATACTGCGTCATTCATAAATTTAATGCCTAGCTAACTAAGGCTTTGTTGCCGGCACGAGAACCATATTGGATTATTATTGGATTAGGTTCGTAGCCAATCGCTATTTATGTATTTTGGGGTTGAGAGAAGATTGGGGTTAGGTTGAGGCGCGCGGGGTCTCATGGGAAGGTACCTCAACATAACCCTAACCTTCTCTCACTCCAAAAACACATAAATAGCGACTGGATACGAGTCTGATACCGGATAGGGCTACTGTTTACACATAAGAACGGTAATATCGGCGCGATTTCTGTAACGGAGCCAAGCTACGCCTCGCCTGTCTCTAAAGTGGAGAGTCACATATCGGATAGGTGTTCATACTGTACAGGAAAGCACTTCGTGTCGCCCCGAAAACTCCGGTATAGTTTACCGTGAACTTAGCTTAAGTAAACTGTGGTTGTTTACCCGGTATTTTCAAGAGGTTTTAGGAAAATTCGGTTGGGAAGTAAATGGGACACGACAGTTTCGAGCCGTTCCAGCGGAACATTTCCGGGAACAACGGAACATCTGAAAAAGTAGTCTTGGAAATTTGTTTTCCATTTCTTCAAAGCCATCTTTTATACCAGTTTCAGGCCTTCGCAGCCGTTTCTGTAAATGGAACTGATTTGTAAATGATAAACGCAATTCCAGGACAAAATTTACCAGTCCTGAATTTTCCTTACAGTTTACCCAAACCGTGAACCGCCGATTGAGCTCGACTGGTATGGTATAAAACAACCTGTGTGTCGGTGAGTTTCCACTCAGATGTACCCGCGAGCAGTGCAAACTCAAGAGGGTTCTTGTTATACATATAAATATATGTTATTGACCAAGTGGAGGTCAAGATGGCTGGATATTGGCTAAGGCTCATTTTTGCAAAACGCAAGAACGGATCGACGAGGCCAATATTCAGCCATCTTGACCGGACAAGCTTGGTCAATAAAGGTCTTAAAAAAGAGAACTTTTCTTGCGGGACCAACGCGGGAAATCCCGAGCGGGAAAGATGGGCTCATCTTGCCTGCTCGGGTACTCAATCAGAAAGCGGGAATCGCTTCATCTTGCCCGCTCGCGAATTCACTCATACAACAAAAATAAAATACAATATTGTAATCTTTAACTTGATTAAGGTTAAAGTTAAAAGTTAGCGCTTCATGAATAAATAAAACATGATGAAACGCCATAGATGAATGCTGCCAAAATAAGAACGTTGAGTCCTGGTTCAACCTCAGGTCAAAATTTAGATAATAGACGTTCTTATAAAAGAAAAAGCGTACCAAGGTAACTCTAAAGAAATGCCGTCCCCCTCCCTCACCCCCACTGGAAGTGAGGTCTCGCGGACACAAAGGAAATGAATAAACATAAAAGCACAAATTATTTATTCACTTCGTTTGTTTTGTGTTAGTGCATTCAGGCATTTCCCGAAGTTCAACATGAAGAGAGAAGACTTAGTTTTAACAAAAAATATTACCTCAGTCTCGCGGCCCGAGGTACGTGTAAGCGAAAGGCATTTTAATTTTTCTAAATGATTGAATTTTATTTCAGGGGTTCACTCAGTTGTTGTTGTTTTTTTATCAGCAAGGCAAAATACTTTACCTTACGTTATGATAATTCGGCTGATTCCAACCGCTCTTTCACTTTCTCAGTTGTTTGTTTAGATAACGCACCAAAGAAAAATGTTTCTCTGCAAGAAAACAGAAATTAAAAGATACAGAGGTTTCATTATGGCAGCGTATGTATGGCACTTGCTAAATTGAAGAGACACCCTGTAGGTCGTATTTCCCAGCGTGTCGACTCGTAAGTTGTCGTATGTGGATCACGTGAGGTTTAAAGGTCTACTGGATTTTTTTATTTATACCTCTCTCGTGACATTCGTCGTTCGCTGTTCCAGCAGAGGTCCTAACAATGGCTTCGTCTGCGCTTATTTTAATGGTTCATCTCGTTGTTTTCATTACTTGTGGAGCAACACATGACAACAAACCAGAGCAGATTCACATTGCCTTCACAGGGATTGCTAGCGAGCGAAATGTGAACTATGTGACACCTTCGCCAGATGAAAATCCCGAGACTGTGGTGATGTATGGTACGCGCTCGGACAAGTTAGAAAAGAAAGCAGTCGGAGATTCTTTCGTATTTAACGGTCCAGGGCATAGATTCAGAATTCACAATGTGAAGGTACGAAAAAAATTATTCAATTCAACAAAATTGAATCGACTGCTCGTTTTAATTTACATGGCAATTATGTAATCGTATGCTTCTTTATTCAGCCAACGGTACTTCCAAAAATGATTCTGGTGTTACTACTACTTTAAAATTGATTTTAAACACCTGCTTAATAAAACGCTTGCTATTGCTGATAACTACTCACAGTGAAGAAGATTTGAAACTGATAACCTACATCAAACAAAATTTCTTTCAGTTTCGACTTTAGGGTTAAAAAGAACTTCCGGCCAACCTCAGCTGGCCTTTTGGCCCCATTTCCTATTTCAATAATCTCTCTTACAATCAGTCCATTTTGAAAAATAAGTCACCTGGAGTGGAGCAACAAGGACCAACAACAATGCCTACCAACTCTTCAGTGCTTTGGCATGCTATAGCCTATGAGCAAGCTCTCCGGGGCGCCTTGGGGGCGGTGCGTGATGTGGGGGAGAGCTCCCCAGAGAGCCCTGGCGCGAAGGGAAGTGAGCACGAAAAAACAGGGGGGGGGGGGGGGCGCCACTCTTCTATCTGAACGCCTGGAACAGGCTACTGAAGAGCTTGCTAGCCGACTATCGGGATGGCATCCTTGCAAATGCACCAAAACCCGGAACAACGGAACACAACTCCAGAGCACTCCGGTAAATCCCCGAAAAACCTGGTAATACAGGGGTTATCTAGAGGTTGTAAATTCGTTTTTACTCCGCTTACGTGATTAACTTTCTGTTTTAACCAGAATGATAATATAAAGTAATCATATTTCTACGCCCTAAGAAGACCGAATTATTCTTTCATGCAATGTTTTATCGTTGTTTTGTCTACTCACAAAAGTTGACAGGTCTTGCTCCTAACACGCTCTATTACTACCAAGTTGGTGTGCCAGACAATGGAACGAGTGAAGTGATGTCTTTTTCGAGCAAAGAGGGCAACCTAGTTTTCGCGGTGAGTTTTCAACCAATTAAACTTCTCTCTAAAACGCATGTTCATTCCCACCATCGGAGCCGCCAGGGCTGGGAAAAATGTCACGTGATCCAAGTGATCTGCAAGTGTAAGCTCTCCTAACGGACACTCTCGTTAGCGGGAAACAGCTCTACTTACGTCCGCCGCCTTCACAAAACCCCTTTTTTCTCGACTCCCATACAAACTCTGTATTTTTACATTCCCGTAAGCGGCCAGCTACAGTTACGGGCACCATTTTCGCGACCCGAGGCTGTCCACTCACAAGAGCTTCCACTGTAATATTTAAGCAATAGAAAACGTTTTCCGTGTTTGCATAGCCTTATATAAACACAAACGTTTCTGAGCAAAAACGTACAACTCTTTTTTTATGGCACTGATTAAAAGAGAAATTCTTACCAGTTGTAAAGTCCTGTACACGAAGTCTTTCACGAGTAATCAGTTCCTGTTTTGCAAAAAGATGCTTTCCAAAATACGGATTTTTCTCGCTTAAAATGTCAGCTTAAGCGAAAAAAAGTTGACACAGCTTGTTTGTAAAGATTTTTCAAGTTTCAGCCGACGAAGGAATGGGTAAATAAAGTGATCTTGTCGAGTTTTGATCACTAAAACTTTTTCAAATTCGTGCTTGCGTGATTAGCGCGCGGAAAGCAAAACATCTCGCGTCACAACCATGTTTACATACTCTCATGCAAACACTCCTCTCAGCCAATCAGAGTGCGCGAACTATCTTAGTTATTTTATTAATATAAATACCGGTAACCCACAGTCGCTTATGTCCATCACGTGGATGTCCTATGACGCGAATTTCGTGCAAACAAACAGAAAATTTAAAGTTCAAGGCGTTTTTATAATGATGTTTGTTGGTTAATATACAGTTAGATCAACTGATCAGGAAATGCGCTCGCTCTTCTCTGGCGAACTCATCGAAGACAGGAATTGTGAGAAACGGTAGGCTGCTAAGCAGGCGCCAGTTCTTTTAGGGCAAAGAAAGAAATCTCGAGGACGAGCGTGTCCCCCTCGCGTGGCCTGCAAAAAATAGTAGAGAAACGGCAGAGCTCTAGCTAAAATATGCAGCAGAATTCTAATACAATTTAATTGAAAAGGGACTGTAAGAATAGTTTATGATGAATGAGATGCTTTATATATGATCCTCTTTCATAACCTTTACTAAAACTTATGCTAGCGACATTTGTTTTACGGGGTGTTGCCGAGAGAAAATGGTGTCGTACAGTACCACAAATGATCCCCGACCAGACAGCAAATGATCTCCAAAAATGGACCGTAAATGATCCCTAGAGGAAAAATCGAATGGGTTGAAAAGTAATCAGCACCATTTATCATCCATTCCTAAAATCCATTCCTTTATTTGCAGCTGCTATAATAAAAAATTAACCCTTAAAGCCCCAATATCCACATACAAATTCTCCAAACTGATCTCCATACATTTCCTTTAAGAGTTAGTTGAGAGAATTTGATGGCAGATCAAAGCATTTTCTCTTTAGTGATCATTTCATAAATTCTCATAACCCAATCTCTTGACAAGGTATGAATATTGTTGGGAGAAAATTGACGTTGGTCACCATTGGGACATGAAGGGTTAATTCAAAACCTAAAGTTCAGTTTGGGGATCATTTGCGGTACTGTACAGTCTCGCACGAGACTGGATCGGTGTGAGCTGACGAATTGCACTATGGGTAGGGCTGAGGGACCAATTTGAACCCAGTTTCCCTCGCAGTGTCAGGGACAGCGTCTCCAAATAGACCCGTGGTGCAATTCCTACTTAGCCTCGGGTGTAAGCCTAAAATGGCCAGTAGGGGCACCTTATAACGTGGTTTTACCGTAAGCGTGTGCAGGTAATGTTTATTCCAATATTGCTGTTCCATTAATTCCCTTTTTTACTTGTAGGTGTACGGTGATATGGGCTACACCAACGCTGTAAGTCTTAATCGCCTCATAACCGAAGTAAAAGGCTCGGGATATGACGCTGTACTTCACGTTGGAGGTATTTGAAACAAGTCTGTCTACATATTCTAGCCTGAATTGATCTACCCAGGATGCCACAACTTTTACGCTCGTTGATACCCCTTTCCCCTCCAACGTGGCGTAAAAACAACAGTCATTCAAAGTTTGGTAGATGGGCAATAACAGGGATGTGTTCCTTTAAGTGGCTGATCAGCCCGCGAACAGCGGGCGAGTACTCAGGCCACTTTCGGCATGACTACCTAATTAAATATGCATATATCATGCTATTTTAACCGGGTTTGCTTCCATCAGTGATCCTGAAAAGTGAACTACAAATGTGACTCAATAAAACAAACACATAAAACTTGATTTCAAATAACACGTGACATTGCTTCGTCAATGATGTCACACAACACGTTTTCCTAAACAGGGAAGGGTTGCAACCCTTAATTTTAAAAATTTTCACCACCAAAATGTACGTAAACAGTGTAAATCGCAAATTCGCCTTGTATGATTGGAAACGTTATTTATCCTATTAGCTATTTAATTAATTAACAAGTCACGTGATCCTTTTCCCTTTATTTACCGATTCCTATATAACGTAAACACACATGCAAGGCCAATTCTTCAGAACCTTTTTAATAACCTCTGAAATATACCTAAAAGAACTTGTTGCTAAATCATTATCCTTTCCCCATTTTCGAGTAAATATTTTGACCGTTAATTTTCAATTATTAGTCACTTGACAAAAATTTGTGTTTATAAAATGTGTCATATTGCTATGGCCATTAAGCTACATTAGTAGTCCAGTTTTGAGGATCATTGATAGAAGTAAACCGTTCTAAATAGAATTTTCTCAAAATATGCATATTTAATTAGATAGTCATGCCTCAAGTGGCCTGACTACGAAACCCAGCCTTTTGTAATCTCTTGTGCGCAGAGGACAGCTTTTATCAGCCCGAATTTTTACTTTTTCTTTCTGTCAAAATTGTGACCATAGAGAAATTAAGATTCACGTCTACGCCAATTTGCACCACGTGACCAAGTTTCCCCCTTATTTTCCGTTTACTCTTTATTGCTTCCACACAAAAATAACTAGTTTTATGCACGTTTTAAGAATAGGAATCGTCTGGGACTGTTTTTATCTGCTTATTATTCTGAGAAATTCTCAACTTGAGTCTGACGTTTGCCGTTTTGCGGTAAAGGTGAATCTTAATCTCTCTCATGTCCTTTTCCATACCGCTATTCGCGCCAAATTCCCTTTTAGTTATTAGGTACAATTCTTTGTGATCGTTAGAAGAAGACTGACAAAGGCTTTGGTGTGATGTTAGTAGTCTGAAGTGTCAGAGAGGCTCTCTTGCCTGGCCGCCCGGCCGCACGACTTCCGCGCTAGACCAACTCTTTCACCTTTCTATTAGCTAAAGCAAACTGGTCCGTTTACACAGGTGATCTTTAATGCGATTTCACTGAATCTATCAGCAAAAGTTCTATGGCGATTAATCGCAGCCAAATTACCTTTGTTTCGACGAAACCTGTTTGGAATTTTACAATTTATCGGCGATTTTCTGTACTAGAGTCACTAAAACGGCCACTTACCCCTACACCCAAGGCTATTTCAATCCCGGAGGAGGAGTACTTCCTCATAAGAGGCTATTGGGGATGTGCCGCTGGATGGGGTCGCATTTTCAAGACTGGATTGACTATAATGGGGTCGCAAATTTTCGGATTTGTTGGGGTCAGACAGTTCTTCATATTTACGGTTAGCAAACGTACCAGAATGTTTGTACTGGAGATGAAAAGTAAAGTGTTCTTCATTTGATCTAAAAAATGGGTCAATTCATAAAAATAGAAAGTGACTCAGCTGGGAGAGCGAAAATTACATATTTGCCCAAACGTGACTAAGATGGGGTATATAATTGGGGTATATAAGCTTACGCGACGAGACCACAAAACAATATGGGCAATTTTAAGAAAAAGGAAAAATTACCCAAATCGGCAACAAAGCGAAGCTTTTCTGTCAAAAAATTGCAAAAGTAAACTTATGTGACCTTTTACAGCATTTTATGACACTGATAACCTCGAAATTGAGAAAAGATTTGAAGGATTTACAGTTACCTAGATAGCCTTACGGCGGTACTGTCGCGTTGGCTTGTGGCCTAAAATCCGCCAGCCAGCGTTGCTTGAAATTGCTGTATACGCCCCTGGATACCGATATCTTTTTTATACTGGCATATGGCGTAAACTATAATTTAAGACCATTTCTCAATACATTTAGACATGGCCTATAACATGTACGAAGATGATGGCGAAACTGGAGATGAGTAAGTGTACTACACCATTCTAAAGTGCGTTTGGTAGTTAAGAAAAATGTCACCTTAGTTTTCTTGGTAAATATCTGTTTTTCGAAGAGTCCAAGTTGACATGTTCATTCAAACATGTCCTCTTGTGCATTCCCAAGCAATCTTAATCTGATTTTTGTATTTTTACACGATCACCATGGAAGATGAAAAGTAAATGGTATTAAAATTCAAAACAACCATCGCGGTGACTGCTGGAACTGAACAACTCTTAAACGATGAGGGAGATTGTCGCGATAACGGATCGCTGCTAAGAGAAACTTCTGTTCTACCTTTGCGATCCCAGATGACCACACATTATGATCACCCGTACCGAATGATCGTCGGTTCCAAATGATCGCTGGTTCCAAACGATAGTCATATAATCGCTGGGCCCATATGCAGTCGACTTCCGCTAACTCGAACCCTCGCTAACATCAGAGATCAGATATCTGACTGATCGGACATCGGAAATCAGACAACAGACATCATACATCAGGGATCGGACACGGGACATCGGGCATCAGATATTGGACATGAGAAATCAGAACTCGCAGACATTAGACATAAGACATCAGAAGTCTGACATCTCACATCAGACATCATACATCTGACACCAGACATCAAACATCAGAAATCAGACATCTGACATCGGACATCAGACGTCAGACGACTGACATCTGACATTAGAGGTCTGACAACAAGACATCAGACATCAGAATCAGACATCTGACATCAGACTTTGGACATCGGAAATCAGACACCAGAAATCAGACATCAGAAATCTGACATCGGACATCAGATATCTGACATCAGACGTCTGACTTCTTACATCTGAAATCAGACTCTGGACATCGGACATCTGACATCAGACTTGGGACATCAGACATCGGACATTAGACGTCTGATATCAGACATCAGAAATTTGACATTGGACATCAGACATCAGACGAGTGACAACAGACATCAGACTTCTGACATCAGACTTCGGACATCAGACATCTGACATCAGAAATGCAACATCAGACATCATTAGACATCAGATGTCTGGCAGACATCAGACACCAGACATCGGACATCAGCCATCAGGCATCAGACGTCTGACATCAGACATTAGACGTCTTACATCTGACTTCGGACATCTGACATTATACTACTCCGATCAGTTAGTGTCACAGTTTCTAGATTGGACTGATACAAATGGCATGCCTTGTAACCCAAGTAAATGTAAAGAGTTGACGATCAAAAAGAGAGGCAACCGCGGTCTCTTTTCACCTATTGGGATGATACCAAGCTGTAAAGAAGTAGAGATTTTAGGGGTCACCTTCCACTGCGACATTAAAATTTCAGTGCACGCGAAGGATTTACTTAGTAGAGCCAACAAATCCTTATATGTCCTTAGAATGCTGGGCAAAGGGGGCTACAATCAGTCAGAAATAGACCCTCTCTTTAATGCAATAGTTGTACCTAATATTAATGACGATCATCTGTCTACGCCGCATCTGAGTCCGATCTTACACATGTACAATATTTCTTAGACCGCTGTTTTAAAAGGAAATATACGTCTAAGCCTGTAAGTGTTTACGAATACCTAGAAAGGAAGGACCGTAAAATTTTCAGAAAAAATTCTAATAATAAAAGGACATCCACTTTTATCTATTATGCTTCGTGTTAAACCGTCCAGCTACAATCTTAGGAAAGAAAGTAACTTTAAACCTTAGATTACCACTATGCGCTTTAAAAACTCTTATTAATCGTTTAGTTTCTAAATATGCCGGAATAAGCTATGTAATATACTACATTTTTAATTCTTACTTTTTACATCTTTTACACTCTTTACTAGATGCTAAATTTCTCACACTTCGAACATCAGACATCTGACTTGTCCAATGTCCGAACTCTGATGTCCAATGTACATGGACACTTTGGACATGGAACGTCTGACATCTGACATCAGACGTCTGACATCTGACATAGGACATCAGAAGTCTGACATCAGACATCGGACATCGGGCATCAGATGTTTGACATTAGTCATCAGACGTCTGACATCTGACATAAGACTTCAGACATCTCACGTCTGACATCTGACATCAAACTTAAGATGTGTGACATCTGACATCACACATCGGACATCACTCTACTGATTTTTAAACCTTTGCTGCTTACTTTCTTTTTCAAAATATTAATATATCTCTTGCCAGCCTTGAAGTGAAGTGTGCATGATACTTGCAATCCTCCCCTCATGCAGCATGTCCTTACTTCTGGTTATTTGCTTTTGATTCCCGATAAGTTGAACTGTTTTCGATTTCCCGAAGGTTCCAGTTATTGAGAGTCGACTGTAGTACCTACGGTCTCTGGAAAAAGTTTAGCGATCTAAACGATCGTAGCGGTCGTAACAATTCTATGAAAACCAGGCTTAATAATACTGATTCATCTCTTTTTTAGATTTATGAATGCTATTCAACCGATTGCCACCAAAGTGCCCTATATGGTTCTCCCAGGAAACCATGAGGTAACATTTAGCTATTTCGCCTTTCACTATTGCCCTGGGAACAAAGTTGCTGCCCTAACATCGGTACTCAACCGGTCGTACCCAGTCTGTTTCTCAGTGGATGGAGGCGCGATGAAAATTGGGGGGGGGGAATGAAAGGTGTAAGAATAATAATAATAATAATAATAATAATAATAATAATAATAACAATAATAATCTTTATACAGGGAGCTCACTTCACACAGTGATATTCAATGAGGCCCTGTAAAACAGTAGAAAAATAAATGATCTTAGATAAATAAATAAGTCTAATTAGTAATAAGTAAAAAGTTAAGACCCGGCTAAAAACTTAACTAATATAAGCTACAGGTTAAAAACCTTTAAATGTCAGATAGATTAAAATGTTAAAAGCCACAAAATATCTAAAATATAAAACTTTTAATGCTCTGTTTAAAAAGAAGAAGAGAGTTAATTTCTTTAAAAGATGCCTCTAAAACGTTCCATTTCATAGCGTATTGATAGAAAAGTCTCTGCTTTCCGTGATTCGTTTTAACGAGAGGAAGACGGAAATCGTTCCTTCTTCTAGCTTTTTAACTATGGATGTCTGAGTTTCTCAAAATTTTAAAATTGTGACCCACAAGTCCGTGGATTTACTTAAAAGTGGTAATGTATCTATGTACCAGGCGCTCTTGAGATAAGGTAGGCCATCCGATTGTTTTGAGCGCGTCGGTAAATGAATCATAGTTGGGCAAATCAAGGATAACTTTGGCAGCCTTATTTTGTAAGAGCTTAAATCATGCATTAATGTAATATTATCTCTGTACTGGTATAATCAGCAAAATCCTTTGATTCACTTTCGCAATCAATGATTCGATATGCTCATTCCAAGTCATATTCTCTTCTCAACACCCAGATACTCATGACGAGGCGCAACTGAGATAAAGTAAACATTCTTTGGACTTATTAAAGAAGGAGAATAAAAACTCTGCACATTGGAAGATTTTTTCGCAGAGATTCTCGCAGTAATGTGTACTTTCAATTTAATGAAATAAAAAGTTATAGGGTCTTAACGCTACAGGCACTTTAAACACGAAATCATGCGAGCGCAAGTACACACGGTATTAAGGTAACTGACTAATATGAATGAATCTGGGATCTCCTCTGCAGTATAAAGACAACTTCACTCACTACCGTAACCGCTTTTCTAACATGGAGTTGGGTGTTGGTCAAACAAGCGGAAGTGAAACCAGTTTATGGTATGTATCGATTGATGAGTATATGTCTGTGAAATAATAGGCTACCTTGTGTAGTAGCAAGCTTTTCTCGGCGCCGTCCAAGTCAAGTCATTTACTTGTTATGTAATACTAAGTTCTATCTTGAGGTTCAGTCGGTATGATGCAGGTCTCCTGCCTTGCCGCAGCCCCTGGGGCTCTTCTCGCCATTCTTTACTTTTCTTCATGCCATATTTTCCCACTCGTTTAGACTTTCCCTCGACCTCACTATCTGTCCCTGGGTCTCCGAGGATGATTCGATTGATTCTATCACGCTCTTTGATTCTCCCCAGTCTCTCGATTAATTCGCTTCGTTAGTCGATTTTTTGCGCCCTTTTTCCTTACCATGACGACTAACGAAATGAGGAACTCATTGGTTCGACCAATGGTTCCTGTTTCGAAAAGTCTCAAGTTATTGAGACCAGCTCTCTGTCCATTCTTCTGTCAAAATAAAGGCGTTTTAAAAGACAGCTTGGGAATTTTTTTCATATCCGTCGAAAGCAATATCTCCGTGTTGTTTACTATTTTATGGCTTATCAGTTAACGTAATTTGTAAATCTTGGACCGCGAGAAGTGTAGTCTAATAATTTTCTCAGAGGTAGTGGAGCAAGAGAAACAGGCGACCAAGGGTGAAATGTTTCCGCATGATCGACTTCTGAGAGAAAAGTTGACAAACTATAATCTTGCTTCGATTTGGTTTCCAGGTGGAGTATGGATATAGGACTGATTCATTTCGTGGGTTTTGACACCGAAGTATATTTTTATTACTCGAATAAGGTAAGAACATTCTAAACAGATTGTGTAGAGCTGTTGATGTAAGGGAATCCGAGAGATTTTTGCTGACTGAATCCAGAATGCGGGAAAATTTTGTCTGTGGAATCCGGAATCCTGTTCTTTGGAATCCGGAATTACAGCTCAAGGAGTTCGGAATACCAGTAACGATTGGAATCCAGAATCCAAGTTCCACTGACAAATACTGGAATCCAGTACCTGGAATCCGGAATCCACGGTGTGGAATCCAGAATCTAAGACTGTCTTGGATTCCCTTACATGGAGCGACTCCGAAATGTAATTCTTGTTTTTCTTCTTTGTTTGGAATGGGCCTCTGGTTTGGTTATTTGAACGCATACTCGATCATACTGTCCATTGTTATGCGAAATGAGTGTTGTTCTGTAAAAGGGTTGAGTTCGAGAATGAAAGCGAAGCCTTTGACAATTTTCAGATACCGTAAAATTCCGAAAATAAGCCCGGGGCTTATATTTTTCAAAGGCCCTTTTTGAGGGGCTTATTTTCGGAGGGGCTTACCTACGGAGGGAAATTTGCGTTTCAAAATCGACTGGGCTAGCCTTATAGTTGGAAGTAAACTTAACGTTTTTGCTTTGTTTTACTTTGTATTTGAGGGCAATTTTCCAAGTACAAGCCCCCGAGGGCTTATATTTGGAGGGGCGATTTAACGGAGGGTTTCTTGCGTTACCAGTTTGAGGGGCTTATATTTAGAGGGCCTTATACATGGAGGGGCTTATTTTCGGAATTTTACAGTATATTGCTAATTAAAGCACTGTTGGTGGTACGTTATACCTGTAGTCAAAAGTTGTAACAGAAATTGTACACTCTCTAGTTGGAAATTTCGGGACTTAATCAATCTACATTAAAATTAGAAATTGCAGTGTCTCCTTTTTTTCTCTACTTTAGGGTCAAATACAAAGACAGCTCAATTGGCTTGAGGCTGATTTAATTAAGGTATAGTCAATATTTGACATTATATTTATTAAATCTTCCTCTATTTTTTTTTTGTGTGTGCCTGCGTTTCCTTTCAGTATTTTGCCTTGCTTTCAAAAAGAAATTTGCGGTCTGCATTGGTCACTGCGGACTTGCTTTCATTTACCCGGGGTACGTCTGTGCCTTCTTGCCTTATAACTGCATTTGTTTTCTGTTTCCTTAAACTGTTGACTTAATCTCGTACCCAGATCTCACTCTGCTTTACACTGAAAAGTGATATCTCCCTTTCCCTTGGCCGTGGGAGATCTGGGTACGAGATTACTGTTGACTTGGTTTATCTAGTCGCGCATAGACTAAGCCGGTAAGGTGTTGTTACCAATTGCATCATGGGACTTTTAGGGGACGCTGACTATCACTTCTTTTCTAGCTTGGCTATTAACAAAGTTACGCAGCAAACTCGGGCTAAATTTTTCCCCCAAAACAGTCCCATAGTGCAATGCGACACAACACCGCTCCAGTCTCCAGCGCGTTCCTACATAAATGGCCAAAACGACATTGTACATGTGGTGTGTCCAAGTCACCTGGTACTTGAGTAGTGCTGCTGTGCTGTCAGTTTTATTTGCCTCTTACTTGCCTCTGATTTGAAAAACACATGCATGCACTTGCTGTTTTTATTTCACAAGTTGAATCCTCTTTTCCTAATCTAGTCCAACGTCATTCTCTCGATCTATTTTGTTTCTTTTAAAAAGGCAAATCAGCAAAGGGAGAAGACACCATGGATCGTTTCTCTTGCCCACAAGGTATTCTCTCTTTTTGAATCCCCCATTGCTCCTCAAAATTTTGCATAAACATTGTCTTCAATTTCTCTTGGGACGACTATCATACCTAGGAGAAATAAGAAACAAAGGTTATTCAAAATTTAGGGGGATGGCAAACAAGGTGTATTATGGGAGATGTGTAAATGGCAAATGATCTCATAACCCTAACAACAGATTGACGACCAATCGTGTGCTCAGATTTCGCGGGTTTCTACTGAGATCCGCACGTGGTACCATCTTACGACTCAGGGGCCCTCAGAATTTAGGTACGAGTCAGGAAATTCATCTCCGTGTGATTGTTCTCCTTGATTCTTGACTGTAGGCTTGGTTTATGGAAAAGACTGACTTCTCAGCTTTTGGTCCTCTTCTTCATAAATACGGTGTCGATTTACACTTGTGCGGCCACGCACATAACTACCAGCGGCTTTATCCAAGTAGGTGGCTCCTTTCTTTTATGCTGTACTTATGTTTGCACGCTTAATTACAAATACCTCAGTGGTGGTTTTTTCTCTTGCATTCAAGTTTTTGTCTGCTTTAATCTGTCTGCTTTTTATTTTGTTTGTTTGCGTTTTGCGTTTAGCGTACAAGAACAATGTTTTCGCTTGTATTTAAATTAACTAACGTACATAACCCAGAACCTACAGGGCCAATATGAGCACCCTTTTGCCCGTCTTAATACTTGCAATCAATCAGGCAGATAAGGAGTAACCTGACAGCAGTAACAGTGGCGGATCCAGACCTTCGGATAAGGGGGGGGGCCCTCAGTTTGGTCTAAAAATAAGGGGGGGCGGGCCTAGATCCACCAATGAGTAAGCACGGCCTCTCAAGACGAACCACAGAACATAGTTTAACAGACCATTGGCGGCGTCTTTTACCCGTCTAGATGAACTTATTTCGAGACGCACATCACCCTGATACCAATTTCGTCCCAGACGGATAATGAGCCCCTAGTACTAGAGTAATAAAGGACAGTCTCGATGACGTATTAGTCAACTTCTAGCATGTTATCCTTTATCTACCCTCCGTACGCACGGTTTGTTATAAAAGCCTTTACGCAGCGTTCTTTATACGTGATTATTTTCAGAATAGCAACTGCGCAAAGAAACTGAAAATTATAATCAGAATAACAAAGTCTTTTCATTTTGTGGCAAATAGCTTACAATGGAAGCGTGGATAAGCCAACGGACAATCACGTGTATGTAAATCCCAGGTACAAGACTGATATTGTAGCAGGATCGGCGGGCTCACATGAAAAACTTTCCAACTGGACCCGCGCGCCTGATAACCTGTCGGCAAAATACATCTACGACTATGGGTAGGTTAGACAGGAGTAAGGGATGCACACCAATATCTACCTCTTTAGTAGCGCGAAAAGGCGTTTCTTCTTGCTTCTTGACAAATGAAAAAGGTGAATTTTAATTTAGTAAACGAATGTTAAAAAATATGATAATATAATCAGCGTCGATCGCGAGCGTATTAAGTCACCGACAGGATTCGAACCATATAACGTTCCGAACACTTTGCGGGCACTCCGCGATTTACTGAGCCACGAAGAGACTCGTGACTCATGAGATTCACTCTTCTTTTTTCACGTACATGCCGTTTTTGAACATCTTGGTTGTTTCTTTATTATAGTGGCAAGTGTCACTGAAGAGTGGACAATTTCCTAAAGTTTTTCTTTAAAAAATTCGGGTTGGTTAAGTTTAGCTGTTTGTTCTCTCTTTCGAGGGGCACCGACTGTATTTTCAAAGGTACCTTTGTAGGTAACTTGTCCGTTGACCCTTCATATTGCTCCAAAATAACGATCCACATAGCTTCAATTAGATTACAAAGGGAGTGGTTGAGACGACTACCACTAGTCACCACAAGTGTTACCGGAAGTGACTACTCGCAGTTTGTAGATGTATTTTGCCAGTTGTCAGGTTCATAAACCTGACTCGTCCCCAGTCGTCTCTCATTATTAGTATTTGGCTTGGAAGACTAGAGCAAGCGCTTACCTAGTAAATAATTAATGAGTAGAGACAACTTGGAGACGACCGGGGAAAAGTCAGTTTATAAACCACGCAAATCGCTTTCGATCAATCTTTGGTGATGATATTTCTGACATTGTAAAATTGATTCCAGCTTACGATGGGAGAGTGGACGACAATCATACTGACAAAAATGTGTATGTTAACCCCGTTTATTTGACGACTATTGTGGCTGGATCCGCGGGCTCAAAAGAAAAACTTTCCGACGGAAAAGCGCCTCACAGAGCGCTGGCAGAATACATCGAAGAGTACGGGTGAGTGGACCTCGCTCCCATTCTACTAAGATGTAAAGCCCGGAAACGTTATCCAGGAATCCGTGCGTCAATAATCGACAAAGAAGCAAAAAGGGCGGTACGTTTTTATCGTAGCCAAAAAAGAGGGAGGGGCAAGTAGATGACTTCAAAAACGTTCTCGACGTGATCACTCATTTTTGTTCCCATGCGCGATCTATTTCCTTTGCTGTTCATTAAAGTATATTACCTAAAAAGACTAAACGTGCCCGTGTATTTAATTTTAACCCCAACTGGACTAATCGCCAATTTGAGTTTTTTGTTTACGCAAAATTTCTGATGTGTAATACGATTAGGTCATGTTTTTCACAATTTCCCCTCTGTAGCTATGGTCATCTCCAGGCCATAAACAGGACCCATTTGTACTGGAGCTGGGAGAACACACATGACAATGTGCGAACAGTTTTCCAAGACTACCTGTGGATCATACAAGAGAACCATGGCATGAGAATGTTCCCTGAAGAGCCTCCTGCCCCGGTAGCAACCGATGCCACGGAAGAGATTCAAGTCGTTGAAGTTTAAAAAAGATTTTCACACAACCAAACAGATCATTAAATCTTCTAAAAGTGTTAATTGGTCAGTCTAAGTAGACATGATTTTTCAAAATCCAACCATTAGAGTGCTGCCAGAATAGCTTGTCAGCACTCCGTCGTTTTCATAAGGAAATCTGGAGATTAGTTTTCCACAACCTCGATCCCAACGCCTTTCCTGGGAACGAGGTTGTAGTCTCTCACGCAGCCGTTTACCTCCGAGCAAGCTCTCTATTTGGGGGAGTCGCGAGGAGTCAATCGCTCGAGCTTTGCGTGACAAGACAAGAACGGCTGCGTGGAAAACTAGCTGGAGATGAGCTTGCTGAAGAGTAGCATGACAAGAAGAATCCATTTTTAGGTTGCGATTAATTTATTTAATGTTTTAGAAGTAAATGTAGTTTGAATATATGTAGGAAAACCACAAATAATAAATTGTCACGACAATCTTTGTTAATTTGCAACTTAGTAGTCTAGGGATTGTCATTTATCACAGCGTAACAAACATGGACACCTTTAACTCAATCTATTCTTCCTCGCCCCATCCTTGCCTGGGACCAGACTCCGCAGTGGGGAAAAATGGCAAAAAACGGGGTCTAATAGCAAAAATATTGGCAGGCGAAGCGAGTCGAGCGGTGACTACCTCTCGGCTCGCTTCGCTCGCCGATTTTTCTCCTTTTACTTTTAATGCGGAGCCTGGTACGAGGCTAGCCCCATCCTAAGTCTCCAACGTTGCCGTTTTTAGGGTCGTCACATGCGAAGTGTTTCGTGTTTTAAGTGTCGTCACCCAACTCTCTGCAACATGACGACTCTAAAACTTATGCATCGGAGAGTACTCATCTCCTCTAGACTGCTAAACGTCTAACTGCAATTTTGCTCCAACTACTTGGGCTAGGCTAGGCTGTTGCGGTTCGGTATGCTAAGAAACTGGACGCAAATAAGAAATGGCTAACCTGCGATCACGCGGTCCTTCCTTCTTCCCGCCTGATCGCAGGTTAAGAACGGGCCTCAACCGAGTAGTGTGTTCTCCTCTTGTGTGCGCACCGTTTCTCGCAAAGACGTTTTTGAGCCACCCACGTCAACCGGAAGTACGGTCGTTTTTCTTTCACTATGCCTTTACTTGAATAAATTTGTATTACTAAGTGTCTTAACTCATAAAGAGAAGATTTGCCTTAGAATTAGGGAGAAACCACTGCGGGAGAATGGAAAAAGTCTACTTCCGGTTGACGTTCGTCGCTTAAGGCAAAGACGTTTTTGAGCGACGCACGTCAACCGGAAGTGAGGCCTTCTCCCTTTTTATATGCCTAGACACTACCAAATTTGTATTGCTGAGTTTCTTTTCTCTTATAAAGACGATTTACCTAAGGGTTTCAACCAAACCACAGCCCAATGCTGCAAAAAGTCCACTTCCGGTTGACGTCCGTCGCTCAAAAACGCTGTTGCTTAAGCTCCCTAATGTCTTTACTTAAGCTCCCTATTTTTTATCTACCTGCTACGTATGTCACCTTTAATTTCTGGGGTTCATTTTTCTTTTGATACCGCTTTGAGAGCGAAAATCTTAAGTGTCTCGCCGTTAGACTGACGTTTGCTGGAAATGCTATTGGATCAGTCAAGTTTTTTAGCTGGTCAGCTTAAATAGCCTAGACTAAAGACTTGCCGCACTGGTAAGTAGAAGTTGTTCAAAACTAAACACAATCTTTTGTTTTAAACTGTTTGCGCTAATTGATTTGTTGCTTTAGAGCTAGTATTCTTGAGGCTGAAAATGAGTTAAAGCTACGCCCGCGAAAAAATAGATTTTTTCAACGTTTTAATGGAGTGTTTTCGAACAGTCCGAGGAGGAGTGCTTTACTCCCGTCATTTTTATCAGGGAACTCCTTCTCCCTCGCGAAATCACTTTCCTGCCGATGAAAATCTTATCGAAAACAGGAAGCATGGCAAACAGACTTCGTGCTGTGGTGAGCTGTTCAGTTTCGAGTTTTCGTTTACTTCTTAAATCACCCACCCAGCCCCCAGCAAACGGCAAGCGTAAATTTACATCACGTGACGAGGAACCGATTGCCCGGCTCTTGGCGTGACCAAGTTTTCTCTTTGCTTGTCGTTTACTGTCCATCATCATCTGGTCCATCATATAAACCCAATAATTAGTAGTGGTCATTTTCATCCAAAGGGTTATTTTGTACATTTAAATAGCTGCTTATTTCAGACCTTGACAGGAGCCGATTACTGATAATCGGCTCCTGACGTCATGAATTTGTCGTTTACCATAAACCTAATTTGTAATCTCTCTTTCATCTGTCTTCTCTGTTGAAGATGTTATGTCATGATGTATAGGTATGAAAGTACAAAAAACATTTTTCAAAATGTGAATAAAATGATAGACTCCCCAGTGGGGCCTTTTCCCGCCCACATGACTGGACAAACAGAAATAATCAGTTTTGACGCGGTTCCTAAGCAACTCGACTCACATTTCCGCGTACGTGAGGGAATTATCAAAACAGGTTAGTGTTTTTACTGTTTCCTCTGGGTTTTGAAAGGAAGTTTCAAGTCTTGACTTAAGGGCATATGAAGGAAGCCATTTCAAGATAACAAGATTATAAACACAGCCATTTGCAGACACAAGTAAGCTTGAAAAGACTGAAGAAATACAGGCTATTTGAAAAATTACAAACATGGAGGAAAAGATGATGTTCGGTATAAATGGCATGGAGCAAAACGATGCAGGAGCTCTTACGCCTGAGCAGCAAGAAAAACTCAACGAATTTAAGGTAAATATTCTGTTTTCTTCAACGAGATACTTCGGTTAAGAAGAGACACACGGTTTTTATTATTCCAATTTTTCACGCCCACAGATCAACACAAGGTTTGGAAATGAGAGATACTTGAGGGAACATCCAGAAGTCTCTTGTCTTTTGACTGGTTTTCTTGGGTGAGTTTCTCTTTTTGTCGTAGCGTAACGAACATGAAAAGAAGTCTTATGGCATTTGATTTGCTGCTGCTCGACTTTTTCTTGATGATAAGTATTTGAACTTATGAATTATAGTCAACAGTAATAAGTTTCTTACTTTCGTGATGTGTGTCTAATTGCATGATTAGCGTGTGCTTAGCGCTTCTAATTCTCACGTCCTAAACCAAAAGTAGCGAATGTAGCAAACCTGGCTCACCTGACTTGCTAAATCGTTGAAATTTGAAATTTGAAAACTAAAATTGATCAAGAGTGCAGTATTGATATTGGTTTAATAATAAATAAATTACAACTATTTTGTTCCTGTTCATTGAGGGTTTTTAAGACATGGAGAACATTAACTTGTGATAATTTGTGTTGGTAAATAATGGTAATTGAACTAAGTTGAGTGCAATTTGGTCTAAAAACAACATGTGATTACAAAATCGAATGAGGCAAGCCGACCAAGGTGACAAGTATGATTTCAGACCAAATTTGCACGACACGAAGTTCAGTAGCGCTTTATACTATTACTAAAAATAGGTTTTGTCACCTTAGACCCCCCCGCGTGACTCAGACAAACTTTGCATTCTACTCCAAGGCTTTGTATGGGAAACATACGTTTCCGACATGAAAATTGTTCATAAAATTCGCAGTTAGTGTTTTTAAAATGTTGTTTGAGCATAATTCCAATATATAAAAGGCACTACTGCTATTGAGAGCAAAACCTGGTCCAGTAACTCAAATAAATGGTTAAAATCAGAAAATAAAGCAACTCGATCAAAGAAGGCTACTGAAATCGGATCCCGGCAGAAAGCACCGCTATGCATTGAAACATGACGTAACATTATTGGCTGTGTAATACTCCAAAACCGAAATTGCTAAAGAGAAAATGGAGTTTGGATGTGCTTCTCGCAAGCCTGTGACAGAATATCTAAGGTGGAAAGCACACCAATATTAGCACAAACCGGAAATTGTATACTGAGTTTGCTCTTTTGTTGTGCGGCCAGGTAGACCATATGAATCCGCGACAAATACTTTAGTACTTTATATCCCATAGTACTAAGTAGCGTAACATAAGCACTCAAAAAAGAAATTGAGCAACCTTTGCCTATAAATTTAACCAAATGCACCGTTCCACGCACAGCTATGGAGCCCTGCTCTCCACACATTTTATTAACATAATTTTACCCACAGCAAATATGACACCACATACGAAATAAAACCACTCATCTGTACAGTTTTTTCCATGTTTAACGCTTTCTTGGCACGAGTTGATTATTTTCAGGATATTTATTATCGAAACCAAGGTGGATTTTGTTTCCTTTAACAATAAACATCTCCAAAGACGACGAAAATTTGTTGTCAAACGTGATTTTCCCATACTAAACTCTTACACTGGTCAGGTTTAATGTCTGAGTCACAACAGGCACCAGAAATTTGTGATGTCATTAGTAGAAAGCGCTATTAACACTTTATTATAGCCGGTTTGAAATCACAGAATTCAGTCAGAACCAATTCATTGATCAAGTAGCCGATTTGTTGAAAAGTGGAAACAAAAAGGCTTTTACAACTCAGAAATGATATGATATAGAACAAAAAGTTGTGTGATTTAAAACAGAAATGATGTGATTTAGAACCGTTGAATGACGCAATTTATAACTGATGTGATTTAGAGCAAAAAATAGTGTGAATCTAATTGTGGGGATCACAATTGATTTCAAAATGGATGTAATAAAATAAATTATTATTATTTAGTGCTGGGTTTAACAGCCTGATGATTCAGACATACATGTACAGTAAAAACTATTTGTAGTGAACTAAAAAGTTGGCGAGCAGGGTATATCACCAGACCCCAGTTGCTGTAGCGGTGGACATCACCATTTTACCCTGGGCAGCCTTTCAGCCAGACATTGAAAACTGGCCGTCCAGAAGGCTTGTTGTCCTATAAAATTATAAGAGATTAAGTGAATTTTCCGTGTATTTCTTCCAAAAATGGGCATCCATAGGATGGCTGGACACCCTTCTGGCTAAAACCTTGATTCTGGCTAAATCACTTTCCACCAGATAACACAAATGGTTTCCTTAAAACTTATCCACTGGATAATGATCAATGTCCAGTGGATGTTACCCTAACAACTGGGCTCTGGTCCCCTTTGTCTTTTATATGAGCCTGTCAGCAAACTGAAAAGCTGGCTTTACACCCCAGGGCCCAGCTGTTGGAAGGTTGATTAGCACTTGTCCAGGGTTAAATTTTAATGCGGGTTTCTTTTTCTTTTGTTAAAAAGCATTTTCTTGGATTGTTTTTCCTACTGTTTTTAGACGGTCTATCCAATCATCAAATTGTAGAGCAGGGCTCAAAGTTAGCGACTAACTGGTCGCATATGCGACTGGATTTTTGGTTGTGCGCCTGAAAATTCATGTGTAATCGCACCTGTTCGCCGTAAAACCCAAAGCACAGTGCAACTGACTTACTTCCGACTATACTTACAAACTTGAACTAGAAAGACGGTGTATGTTTAATTGGTCTTTTCTCCCAATGGATTCTACGAACTCGAATGTTCTTTTTCGTTTCGATGTTTTACTCCATCCCAGACTCTTCTGTTTTGTAATAAACACCGCTGACACATGCAAATATATGCTACAAACGAAACACGTACTTTTTGTGCAACGGACGATCATGTCGAACATTCAGTTTTAACGTCAATCAAACAAAAACAGTGCGGATTAAGAGCCTTTTTTCCAGGTAAGAACCGTGTTCCCCGTAAATTTTAGTGCACCAGGTAAGGGACTATTCATGGCCGGTAAGGCAAAAAAATATGTGCCAGAAGTGCACTTTCCTGGGGGAGGGGAGGTAGTGGAGTGAGGGACATTGGCTTTGACCTTGCTGTGAAATTTAGAAGCTAAGTTCTCTGAAATGTCATTCCCTCATTTTAAGACCTACGTTACGTAAATCAGTCGTTGTTATTTTTCGACAACACTAAAAAACGTTTGATTCCAACAATATTACACTGTCTTCAACACTCTAGAAAAGCTGTGTGTCCTTTAGTACACTTCCATATATTCATTCATTACTTTGATCGGATCAGATAGAAACTAGTGTATTTTTTTAAAACAACTTATTTAGTAAACCTTCAAGCGGTTGCAGGCGGTAAGAAGTGTTGCTTCAGACGATAAATTTTACCGGTTACCGCCTGATAAGGAGACCACTGTAAGAAAGTTTTTTAAGTCGTATTCCAGTTACATGTAAGTCATTGCGCATTTAACAGATTCATTAAAGATTAATTTTCATTCTTGTTCGACACACTTATTATTGTCAGTTTTGAATTGTTTTTCAAGTGTAAGTTTTCTTTAGTCACAACTGTGCTGTCAAAAAGAGAAATTAGTATTAAAAATCACAACGGTATTACTGCGTAGCAAATCGGCTGTGTTTTATCAATCACAGGACTGAAGTAAAAGTAACAAACTGAAGATGACAAATAAACGTGGCACTGTTAAGCTTTTTACTTTTTCTATTGAAATAGATGCTCCCAACATTATAAGCTGTGCTCCTAAAATTTTCAGTTGTGTGCGTAAAATTTTGGCAGTGCGCCTAAAAATTTACATCTGGTAGCACAAGTGCTCCCAAACTCAAATTTAAACTTTGAGCCCTGTAGAGGAAAAGAGTAAAACTGAGTTTGCTTTTTAAGCTTTGATATCCAATTCAAAATTTAGCACTAACCCTTGGTTATCTTAACTCACTTTTGAACAACCCAGCCTAGACCTTAAGAATTTTAAGAGGACTGATGGTCTTTTTTATCTTTCACATGTCTGCAGAAGTATTTTGCAAGAAAGACCAGAAAATGTCAGAGAATATGCATCAAGTGAGTGAGGTTTCTTTGGTACTTTCTCAACCACATTAGCCTGTTCACACGCCTTCTATATTTTTCTCTTTAGAGTGTGCACACAGGACTGAAAACCATAAGATTTTACTTACTTCTGGTGCAAGAGGAAAGTGCAAATGAGAAAACATGTTTTGTAGACATCTTATTTTATTAGCTTGGAAATATATTTTTTGTTAAAATCAGTGAAACCTGTACTGAGCGGACACCCTCGGGGAATGCTGTAGTGTCTGCTTAATACAGGGTGTCCGCCAAATTCAGGTTTTGATAGATAACGTCATATGAGGTGTCAAATGCCATTCAAATGAACAGTGGAAACGCTTAGAATACTTCCACAGGCTATGATGATATACGTTTGCATTTAATCTTTATTAAAGTGGACCAATAAATTGATCATAGTACTTTAAACATAGATTGCAACTCAAATTTGAAGAAATCAGACAAATAAAACAAGCTCTATACAAAATAGAAAAAAAGAAATAGAAAACAATACTGTACTGTGAAACTAATCAAATAAGTTCATCAATTCACGTTTTTTAATGTGAAAATCGAAAAATTTGTGGGTGACAATCTTTTGCATTTCCGGTGTCTGGCATGTTGAGTGGTAGAATTTAATTACAAGAGTCCGTTTATTACAAGTTGGCAATGATAAAAATGACCATTTCAGGTACATTGTAGGTGTCCATGTCCGCTTAATAGAGATTTCATTTAAAGTAAAGAAGGGAAATAACTTTGGGGACTTCGGCTACTGTCCGCTTCATAGAGGGTGTCTGCTTTATAAAATTCATGATTTGCAATGAAGAAATCCCTGACGCAAACACAAACTTTAAGCAGTATCTTGCTTTGGGTGTTGGCAACGTTTGAAACCCCTGACTAGAAGTGCATAAATCTTCATATCATACTAAGCCTTAACCCAGGAATTGCTGAATATCACCCTCCATATTTTTCTCACTGTTCCCATACATTTCTTGTGATATTGGTGAGGAGAATTTGTTTAATAATGAAGACCTTAGTACCCTAGTCCCAGAGGTTTTTCTTGAAATTTTTATTTGTAGACAAGCAAGTGAGCTGCAAAGCGGCAAGGAGAAAAAGAAACAAGGTTTTTCCCTCTCTCCTCCCCTCTTTGCAGCTCGCTCTTTCCTTCATGAAGAAAAATTTGAAGGAAAACCTCTGGGACCAGGGTAAGTCCTTAGGTAGTTACATGGTTTGATTATTCCCTCCTTTCTCGTGATCTTAAGGTAAATAGTGTAATCATGACTGTGATCTTCAAATAACAGAATTCTGATTACAAAAAACTGATTTTTTTTGTAATGCTGATATTTTTGTTTATGTTTTTATTACAGAGTATTTTTCAAACCCTGACTTACCCAGTAAAGTGGAATTACAAGTTGCAGAGTTAAATAGCAGACTTAAAAGAACAAACAGACCCTAATGGTAATATCACAAATATCAGTGAAATAACTTTTGCATTTTTTAAGCTGTACTTGATTTTAAATATGCTTCTGTATAATATAAACTGGTCACTTTATTTAATTAATCTGCCACTGTTGTTAATCGTAACTTCTCAGTTGTAAATAAAGATCTATTTATTTCTGTGTTTGCCCTTCTTTGTATTAGCAGTTTTAGAATAGTTTTCAATTGATTTTTATTAAATCAAAATTATGTTGTTGTTCTTAGTCCAGCCTCGTTCACAAGATGATGAGTAGGAGAGGATCCTGGGAAAAAGGTTGTTCTTGGTCTTGTAAAATCCTTGACAAATACATGTAGATACCCTCAAGTATCTGGTACATTTTAATGGTCAGTTTTGTGTGGTTGAGATTGAACAAGATGTGGAAGAGAGAATTACAAATAATGCTTTTAGTTTGAGGAAAGTATTTCACCTTCTAAGACGTTGTCTTTTGATGTCCTGTACCAACAGGTATAAAAGGGTTGTACAGTATAACCTATGCTTAGTGGACAAATATGGGACCCTTCCCAATGTCTGTTAAAAAGCGGTATCTGTAGCTTGCAAGCAAGCTCTCCTTTTTTTCAAAAGAATAAACAAAAACCACTAAGGACACAAAAATAAGTGCAGTATGTCGTACTAACAACAAAAATCTTTACTTCAATGGTCGCAATGCTCTTAGAGGTACATATATCCTGTGCAAGTAACATTCTTTTGTTTACAAACCATTTAAACAGTATACAACATAGTGCTACATAGCCTCCTATGTTTAGCTTTACAAATTGCAATAGCTTTACAAAAGATGGCTTATTCACCAAAAAAATGTGGATGTTTCTCGTTAAAATGCGAACTTGACTTTCTAGATAAGTTTCCATTATATTGCGCAACTACTTAATATGTAGGCTATGTAGGTTCCTAAAACAGTTTCATATTTTTGTAGGAGGCAAATGGTCTTGACATCTTATTACACGCGGTCGTGGTAATAATAAGCATAATTTTATAACCAAGGCCCCGTCCACAAGTATCCTCATATTTTTTGAAAACGGAGATGTTTTCTCCGTGTTCCAGAATATACCCATCGTTACGCAGCGTAATCGAATCGTTTCGCTCGTCCACATGAAAACGCTAAAACGATGAAAATCAGGAACCCATAAAATGTGCCTCAAAATAAACAGTCCGTAAAAATGCCGTGACATAGGCCTAGTATAGGATTTGCTCGCTCCTAGTAATGAGCTCCTACACGATAGCATCCCCCACGGAACATACGTCATGCTAGAAGTTATATGATGTGTGACATCATCGTATTCGAAAACTTCCGTTTTCGTCTGTCCACACGTAAACGAAAGGCCGACGTTTTCAAAAATCTCCACTCTTGAGTGCGTTTTTGAAAAGATCCGTTTTCGGTGACCGTTTCTACCAGATACGTGTGGACGGTGGGCCAAACCGGGGTGGGGTGGAGGGGATATTCGTTTTCAGACAAAAACCGACACGTGTGGTGTGGACGGGCGGGGCCTAATAGTTTTTGGATTGAAAAACAGTGACATTGTCAGATAAAGAATGACTTTTTTTTGTATTTTCAAACAAAAACCGACACTACTACCGTAAGATTCCGAAAATAATCCCCGGGGCTTATATTTTTCAAAGGCCCTTTTTGAGGGGCTTATGTAAGGAGGGAAATTGGCGTTTCAAAATCGATTGGGCTAGCCTTCTTCTTGGAAGGAAATGATCGTTTTTCTTTGTTTTACTTTGTACTTGAGGGCAATTTCCAAGTACAAGTCCCGGGGGCGGGGGGGGCTTATATTTAGAGGGGCGATTTAAAGAAAGGTTTTTTGCGTTACAAGTTCGCGGGGGCTTCTGTTTGGAGGGGCTTATTTTCGGAATTTTACCGTAGTTTTTGGATTGAAAAACAGCGACATTGAGCAGTGACATTGTCAGGTAAAGAATGAACTGTCAAAGGCTTAGGGATCATCTGGTCCTTATAAAGTGGGGATCAAAATCTCCAAATTTTAGCCTGACAGATTCTTGAATTAAAGTCATTGATGATATAAAAAGATTACTCTCTGATATCTAAAAATACTTTTATGCTCAAAACGCTGGATTACTGGCTCCTGAGAGAATGAGCTCTCTCATGCTTTTCCCAAAATAGTTGCATCGATAAAGAAACACTCCCCCTTCCTCAGTCGTGGGAGGGTGTGTTGAGTGTATCCTGTCTTTCCTCCTCAACGCCCACCATGCAGACTAAACTAAAAGCTGCAATGGAGACTAAAAGAATTAAGGGGGGGAGATCTGAAAGGGATTCAAATGATATTTCCCCTTAACTGAGTTTCACCTGAAACTTTGAATTTTAGATGCTTAAAAAGTTACAATTTCATCAGCGCTAAACCCGCTAGTTTTCAGTAGACGAAAACCTTAGACTGCTTTAATGACAACAAAAACTATTTTATGAACCATATTATACTAAGTTAATGTGAGTAAACAAAGCATGAAAGGTTCAGCAAAGTGAGCAGCAGAAGAGTAATAATGAAATACAGCAAAAGTTTCTCTTTGTCGTCAGCTTGAGCAGTGTTCTCGATCCCCGCTGTCTGTATAGAAAGAATTGAAACAAAGAAAAGAAAAATGCCGTAAACTGTATGTTTTGGTTGTAAAATTATTAATGCAATATAATACAATATAATAGCGTTAGTGTTTCTAGACGAAAAGCGGAAGAGTAGATAAATATCTTATGCCCCATTCACACCAAATAAACCTGTTGAATTAAACCAGGTTTTAAAAATCATGAAAACAGAACAGGAAAATTGGAACACAGGCTTTTACACAGGGTTCAAACAAATTTTAACAGATCTCGTTATTATAATGTGCAAAACATTTTCAATTGATAACATCGTCAGTACCCCAGCAGTTTTTATGAAGTTTTTTTTTTTTTTAACTATAAAACAGCTTTTAAACATTTTTAAGCTTTGGTGTGAACGGAAAATCTAATGGATCGGCCATATCATCGTTCTCCGTTAAAGACTTAAAAAGTATGGCTTGTCTCAGGGTTGTCTGACCGCACATGCACTCCTTCGTATACGAAAGTACGCATGTCACATATGAGAGAAGAAGCAAACTAAAAAGATTTTTCAGCCCCCGAGTCAATAGACTGCGAGCAGTCCCTCTTCAGTCAGTCGAGTATAAGCTCGGCAGGACTTGAGAGAGCGAATTGGCCGAGAGGGAAACTTCCCTTCGCTCGATTTTCTCGCACGCGTGACCATCCTGAGGGATTGCTTGCAGTTACCCTTCGAACACAGTCTCCTTCGATCTTACTAGATACGTCGGGAAAGATCGAAGCGACTCTGCTAACAGGGTAGCTTGCAGTCTACCGAGTCAACTAAAGGCAAACGCCGCGACTGCTTTATCGAAAACGAGAACGTCGAAAATGCATATTTGGTCTAAAAAGCCTGGTTTTCAAACAATCTTCTCCATCTCCTTGATCGCCAGAGTCGGGTTAAAATATGTGCAGGACGGAATGGAATGATTACTATGAAAACATTTACCGTCTTAAACCATTGTTATTTGTATCGATAGTGACTGGACCGCGCTGGTCGATCGCAGCCAACATATAAAAACCAGGCCTACAATTTGTAGGTCTGTACATTGGAGGGTATCATTGGTATTGTTAAGTAAGACAAGACTTACCATTTGATTATCTTGATGTTGGTACCGGTCACCTCTCCCCAATGAACGAGTGTTTGGCAAACCACTACAAAAGAAAAGTTCCTTTGAAAATGACTTAAGACTTTTCGACGACTTTACATCACACCTGAGAAGTGTCTTTTGAAGAAGTTCAGTCAAGTAGTTTTTTCTGAATCTCATGTTCGGCTCAGACCTTAAACACTTTTTCAAACTAGAATCCAATTTTAGATGAAAATCCTTTGCACACTTTACCAAAAACGGACTTGGGTTCCATTCGATCACATTTGTATTAGGCGTAGCTCGAATGTTTCTCTTGAATCCCAAAATTGGTAGCTTACAAGACCTTATATTTTAGCATTCACCAAATCAGTGGATAGCGATTTTCGCGTGTTCTGATTGGCTCCCGTAACTCGGAATATCCTAGCCTGAATTTCATCCGATTACTTCGAGTCGTTATTACTCCCTCAGTAACGTCTGAATCGACCTGCCGTTAATGCTGTCCAGTGACGTCACTACTCCTTAATCTTTGCTTTAATTCATGCAAAAAGTAAAACACGATTTTCAAGTGGCAAACCGAGAAACATCGTTTGGAAATGTCTGCATGATACAGAATTGCTTTATTGTTTTCGATCGTGATTCATGTTTAACGTTCAAACTATCAACTGCATGCAGTACAACTCTGAACGGGTTGTACTGAATTCTATAATCAAACTCGGTCGCAATCACGCAATGAAATAAACACACACATGAAACACTTAGTTCAAAAACACAATGATTTGCTTTAATTGAAAAGAAGCTATTTGGTCCTTAACGAAGAAAAAAAAAACAAGGAAACAAGAAAGAACAGCTAACAGAATCATTACACTTGACGGTGAAAATAGCAAGAAGGTCGAATTAAAACATTGATCTCAGAAAACTTCGCGTAAACAAAGTCACCGGCCGCCGAAACCACAAAGCGGCTCTAAATGAAAAACCTACCGACTCTCCGCAATGATTCTTCATTCGCAGTTCAATTTAGCATTTCAGTTTCGAAGACAAGGGCAATTTTGCAGTTTAAGATAAAGATTAAGCTTATCGAAATGTTTGAACTACACGAAAGAATGCCAGGGATGCGATCCGCTGAATATCAAACGACAATCCTGCTAAAATTTTTCATAATTATACATAATTATGCGAATGTTTAGATAATCAACCAATCAAAATCACTACCCGGTTTTCGGGTAGTGAGTGACGTCACTGGACGGCATTAACGGCCCGTCGATTCAGACGTTGTTGAGAGGAGAAAACGACTCGAAGCAATCGGATGAATTTCAGGCTAGGAATATCCTTGGATATTCACTGTTTTGGGACGGGGTATCAAAATTGTTTTTCGTTTCGCGACAGTTTCGTAAGATGAAATTTTAGCTGTAAATGAAGCAGCTGCTCCAACAAATACCAAGAAAGAG